ATTAAAGAAGGGCTGAATTATCGGAAGAAGAATCGCAAAGCTATTTAATAGTAAAAACGGTTAAGATTTTAAAAATATAAGTTATAATACATATTCGGTATAATTTGTGACTGGCATCGAATCAACTGTAGCTAAATATCCCTGCTCTTTTAATAACGTTCGAGAAGAAAAACTAAATTAAAACTTTCATATCATTTTGGAAAAGTGACAGTAAAAGGACAATACTTAATTTATTGACGAGTAACACGAAATGGAAATTTAGGTACAAGAGATGCTAGTTCTTCTAATATAAAAAAAATGATCAATAGAATTTTTTTGTTTATGCGACACAATGATCACAAAAATTGAATACCAGAGCCGTCCAGTAACGTAGACCTGGGATATGTGAAAATAAAAACAGATTGTAGATGATGCCATTTGGGTAAAAAAAACATAAATTAATGTAAAGACTATTTAGTAGGAGAAGTAAAAGTTAGCAACTCAGAAAGAGAGGAACCATAACTCACACCTAGTCATCTTACATAAAAGATAAAACAATGATCTATGAGTAAAAAAGTCAATACAAATCCGCTGGTATATTAGTGTTATCCATAACTAAAATTATCGCACCATACAAAAACGATAAAATAAGTAGAAAACAAAATAGTAAGTAAAAAGCCTAATAAATCTGGAACAAGATATAGTCTAAACTCTAGATAATAAATTGAGAACTTATAATCACCTGTGTAACATAAAATTATATAAACGTTGTTAATGTAACAAATTTATAACAAAAAGCTCAAAAAGCGCAAAAATTCATGGGTGTAAGAGGTAAAAAAATGTTAGTGCAGTAGTGGATGAATGATCCTCCTCCTCAGAAATGCACTGCAATCACCAATGACGTTTCGAAGAACCCTAGAGCTAGCAGCCCAATATAATATTTGTAGAAAAGAGAAAGAGAAGCAACATTACAACGATGAAATAGTCGGACTTTGGCTGCAAAAGTTTTTCCAAATATGTTTACATTGCGTTTTTGCACCTTTTCTAAAAGAGAAAGGGCATTCTTTAAATATCAGCTCCAGATTATAGCAACAGTGTTCCATAAAAGACAGGCTTAAGGTTTATATAAATAAAGAATCGAATCCTGAGTAAGAAAATGGGAACCACAATAAAAAGATGCAAAGACAAAACTTAGAAAATGCTAATTTTACAATGGATTTGATATATGGTTTCCAAGAAAGATTGAAAGTAAGAGTTAATACTAAGAGACGAAGTATAGCTGGCTAATTGAGTAAATTAGCTCATTGTAACTGAATTTCATAAATATATAAAGATTTAGATTATTGAGATAAAGATTAGGTGAAATAAAGTTTTTTCTAAGTAAGCAATTAAGAGCCCCATGCTGTGATAGAAGTAATATCCTTGGAGTAAAATGGTAGTATCATCAGCGAACAATGCCACCTTAGACGTTAGAATTACTGGCAGAAAAAAATGTACATCTCACTCTTTGCCAAACACGGTTAAACATCATAATAAATTTTTAAATGTTAAAAGACAAATTACAAAAAAATTTAATAAATATTTGTGTGTGTTGGACCAATTCCTGCAAAAGGAATTCCTATAACTATCAGTTTAATAGGTTATCTAAGTTTCCCTCTAAACTCTTACTTGAACTTTTTTGAACTATTTTTTGAAGAGTTTGAAACTCCCTTGTACCATTAATACCACTCAGGGCAGTTGGTTCTGGTGGTATTAATGGTAACATTATTTTATGTTCATTAGGTGTTATAAATTAATATACTCTTTAAGATTTTTTTTAATATCAATTACACAGGGAATTTTTCCAGACGCTCTAAAATAAGCAAAAGTCATACTAAAATTAAAAGGTGGTAACATTGAGAATATAAGTAACTATTGTCATATTTCACTACTTTCAGTATTCTCTAAAATTTCAGAAAACATTTTGTACAATAAAATTTATAATCATCTTACTATAAACAATATATTTTACAGAAATCAATATGGATTCCTAAAAAATATTTCTACTGAACATGTCATTCTACAAATTACAAGATATTTTTCTATTTTGAAAAACTTCAATTTACTTTAAGTGTTTTCAGTGACTAAGCAAAAGCTTTTGATATTATCAATCATAAAATTTTTTTATAAAAAATTGGAGTGGTACGGAATTATTAGAAATATATTAATTTGGCTAAAAAGTTACCTAAATAATCAAAATCAATTTGTTTATGAGGATGATAACGTATCTAACTTTTGAAATATTTCATGTGGAGTTCCTCAAAGATACATATAAGAACCTCTCCTGTTTCTAATATATATTAATGATTTACCAAAAGCTTCTAACCATTACGTTTCGTGATTCTACCTTTACGTTTCGTGATTCTACCTTCTAACCATTACGTTTCGTGATTCTAACCATTACGTTTTGTGATTCTAACAATTACGTTTCGTGATGATTCTAACTTATTTTATTCTCATAATAACATTTTTACACTTTTTAGCAACATGATCCTTGAATTAGTCAAAATTTCCGAATAGTTCCGATTAAACAAACTATTATTAAATATTGATAAAACAAAATAAATCCTTTTTCATCCTAATGGTAAAAATCACCAGGTGCCTAAAAACTTACCTTTTCTTTTTATTGATAACATAATTATTAAAAGAGTTCCAGTGACAAGATTTTTAGGTGCATATATCAATGAAAATCTTACATGGAAAAGCCATATTGCTAACTAGTGCAGTAAAATTTCAAAGAGTATTGGCATTTTATACAAAATAAGAAACGTTCTTGATAAACATAAGGACCGTTTTGTATTCAACATCCTGATCCATCTGAATCATTTGGTGTTAAAGTAAAACTTTTACCATAAAATTTTATATCAATTTAGGTTAGTTGACTTGATTGCCACCGTAGTACGTTTTTATCCAATTTCAATATGTCAGCAATGTTATCATAAGCAATTCACTTCTCATGAGAAGTAATTAAAGCATTAATTTCGTTTTTTCAATTTAATCTGAGAAATCTTGATTGTCATTTATTCGGCTTATTTCAGGAATTCGAATTTTATTATCTGTATTGCTTTCCTCACAACCAGTTGTTTTTAAATCAGAACCAGAAGAAAGTATAAACTTACGAGCTTCTTTTCTGTCGTATTATTTTTTCAATTGCTGTTAATATTTTTTTTTTGTTTTAAAAATGATAAAAATATTAGAACATGATTCAATTTTTTTCTATCCTTTAATATTTTAGTATCAAATTTAATCCCATTACGCACGAGTTAATGGCGAGAAAAAATCTCAGCACTTTTTCTATAAGAAAATGTAAACGAGTGTTTACAACACTCGTTTACATTTTCTTATACAAAACATTAACTTGAAGCTACGTAAGATTGAAACAAATCAGGTTTAACAGTTTTTACTTTAACTTTAAAATTACATCGCGGCAATATTTCTAAGTTTTGATTTATAGCATTTATTTGCCGTTTTTTAAAATCATTTGTTTACTAAATAGTATTAAAAGATTCTTCAAAAAAATCGCCTTAGTACCCGAAGTGTTTAGCTTGCAGCGTTCTGAAGTAAATGCCATTGCTCAAATCCTTTCTCTTTCAAATTTTATACAAATCTTTTTTGATTTCTTAAAATACAAAAAATAACATTTTTAAAGTTTTGTAAATATTTTTCAAGTCTGCACGTTTAAAACACATTAAAGAGATGACTTTTTTTTCTTATTGAAAAATAAGGCTTTATAGTCAAACTTTTATTTTCTTCAAAATTAAATAATAGGGCGAGAGTCCTAATAAGCTTCAGATGATTTGAAAAAATTATTATAAACTTAATAATGTAAAAAGTTTGTACACATTTTTTTTATAGATGTTTAGAATTTACAAATTAGAAGTTATAAACTATTCAACATTATTCTTTAGTATAAAACAAAAATTTGAAATATTTTTATTTTCTGACATTTCTTTAAAATTAAACAACTATATAAATAATAAGTATAGTAATGGTCGGTGCGGAAAAGACTTATCATGACCGGTGTTATACATATCATATACGTAAGTTCATTATTCCACATAACTTAAATTTAGTTCAAAATGTTTTTTTAACTTTTTATACCAGTTGTAATATCCGCATTATAAAATTTTTTTGATTTTAAATCATCTTTAGAATACATTTAGTAAAACTTTAGGTTGTTACATATGATAATCGCTACTGCTTGAAACTTTTAGTTATGTAATTAAAATATATCTTAATAATTATTTAATTTTCACTATATTTGCTCTACTAGTTATATAACACGCTGTATTGAGCACTCTTACTAGAAATGTTAACATAATTCCTGCAATATATATATATATATATATATATATATATATATATATATATATATATATATATATATATATATATATATATATATATATATATATATATATATATATATACATATATATATATATATATATATATATATATATATATATATATATATATATATATATATATATATATATATAATATATATATATATATATATATATATATATATATATATATATATATATATATATATATATATATATAAATATATATATATATATATATATATATATATATATATATATATATATATATATATATATATATATATATATATATATATATATATATATATATATATATATATATATATATATATATATATATATATATATATATATGAAGATTATAATTTTTGTATTAGGCTGATACTTTACATAATAAATAATAATATTTTGTATAATATATTATCAGCAATAAACAATACTCTGGAAAATGATTGTAACCGTATGACTGCTGTAACTTAATGCTAATAAATTTAATTTGAAAAATAAAGAAGTTTTACTTAAAACTATTTCGGGGTAGTACTACCCCCCTCCCTCAATATGATTTTTGTTCCTACGGACCTAATCTATACATGTAAAAGTATTTATTTATACATAAATAACTTACTTTAGGATGGTGCAATGGATTTAGCTCTGAAATAGAAAACGATTGTTTTGGAAATCAAAGTCATGCAGGTATGGGGCTGTCTATTAATTACGTCAATAAGATATTGCCAATTTTTACCTCCTCTCCACTCTCTCGTCAACAATTTATCAAACTTCCAGAAAACCTCCTAATAAATACGTCAACATTTAATACCACTGAATGAATCAATTGCGATGACGTTGTTAAATATTCATTACAGTTGATGCTCAATGCAGAGTCACAATCCTTAAAAGTTCCAAACCTTGTCACTCTAAACTTTATACCCAATTTTATTTTACAGTGAAAGCCAGTTAATCCTAAAAGGGTCTATCACAAGAAAACATGCATTCGAAAAATTGCACGAACCAGTCAGCAACCTTTTAAGAAAGAGAAGCCAAAAGTTAAAGTTTCTCAAGTTAAATTATGAGTTTTTAAAGAGCTTTCAACATCTTTATTTAAATATTATTTTAATATTTGTGCATGGAGCTAAAGAACCGTATCTTAACATTAAAAGAACCACATGAGGCTTGGGACCCGCATTTTGCCAAACCCTGGTATAAACACTAAAATAGTATTAAGAAGACTATTTACTTGCATAAATCCTTTTTTTTTTTTTGCACAACACACTAAACAAAAACAGCTTCGATAAAATAATAGCGTCACGAGTAAACATCTCGTGTGCGCTTCTTTAGTTTTGCATGTTTCGGATTTTTTTAAAGCGCAATACGGTTTTTAAAAAGTCGGACTATAAATAGTTTTATTAAAATACTAAAGGTTGAGCGAGTGTGTAACAAAGGACTAAAAACACTGGCAAGTTTTCTTTTTTATAAGTAATAAGACTTATTTAAAAAAGCAAAGTTGTTGACCTCAACTTGCCTTATCATTTCTCTCCACTTTGTCTCTGATTGTTAAAAAATTTCATTCTCTTCCTCCCTCCTTTTTTATTGACGTAATAAATGGCTCCCTAAATAACAAACTCTTTTGTTAAACTTTAGTTTTGTTCAATGAGTTGTTTGTTTTATATTTTGTAATAAAGTAAAGGTCGATACTTTTTTCGAATAAGCAAATCCAGGTTTCGCGTTTTTTGTAAAATCAAGACCCGAATTATTTAAATTTGATTAAACCGTTTATACTCATTTTCATATAATAACTTGCGATAGATAGATAGTTATTATGTATATTATATTAAATTATTATTTTTAATATATTATAGCAAAGTTTGATATAACTTAGCACTACTAAAAACGAATTCGACATTCAAGCGCTTATTATATTCGGGTCAGGATTTTATTAAAAACGCGAAACCTGGATTTGTTCATTGGAAAAAACTATTGAATGCTAACATAAAAAAAAAAAAAACATTTCAGCACGAAACCTGTAAAGAAAAAAGTAATTAATAATACATTATTAATTAAACATTGATTCAATTTTCTATTATAGTAACAATTTATGAAAATACTTCGTATGCAGTAACATGTGTAGGGAAATCTTTATTAAAAATTCAGAGTGCTATGTATGGTAGTCAAGAAAAAACAATAAAATGCATTTTAAAAAATGTTACTGATGTTGTTCAAATATTGTGCAGTAGAAATAGCAGCTGTTTAATTGAATCCAGCAATGCATTTTACGGAGGCGACCCTTGTCCTGGTATCAACAAATACACTATTGTTAACTACTTATGCTTTCCCGAAGATATCGGTATATATATTTTTTAGATTATATAAAAGTTATTTATTAAAAATGATTCCCTTAAAAGCAAAGCATAATTTCTATAAAAATCTCCTAAAAAGCATTACATGATAAGTTTTTTTTTTTATTACATGATAAATTTATAAGTTATTAAACTATATAAAGTTATTTAAAAAAAAACAATTAACTCAATTTGTTTTGCTTTTAAATTTTTTTCATAGTTTATAAAGAATTTTCTTTTCCATCACCATTGAGTAACTTTTTTTTTATTACCTTATGTAAGTGATCGTTTAATGAATTCGTAAAAACAACTTTTATTAATGAATTAACAATCAAATATCTTTGTGTACAATTACTTCAATGCGTGTGTGTCAAAGTGTGGCGAAATAATAAATGTTAATAAACAATAACAAAAATTATAAGTTATGAATAATATAACTTTTTAAATTTTTAAGTAAAAATTAAATTTTAAAGTTATGAGTAATATCAGCTATAATTTTTATATTAAACAAATTTTTGTCTCTTACCAAAGCCAAAGTATTATGGTTGTGTATATATTAACTTGATTTACAAAAGTCTTGCTACATCCATCCAAAGTTACAGAATTATGTTGAGGTCAAAGTAGTAAAACTGATATATTTATTAGTTGCTTTTTGTCAATAAAATGTTTATATTAATTAAGAATAAAAAATTTAAATACATACATGTTGCTTGTCGGTATTTCGTTTAATCTTTTAATCATGTGAACATAACTATAATATCTTAATATCTCTTATATCTATATATATCTCTTATCCTAAGTAAATATTTTAGTAAACAGTAAAAAGCATTAAAAATAAAGTACGTAAATATATTATAAATGCAATATACTTGAGGTGTATTTTTAAAAATAAATAAAAGGTTCAAAAATCGAATAAGATTTATTTTGTTACTAAAACCTAGTTTAAGAAAATATTTTAAAAAACTTGAAAAACCTATATATATATATATATATATATATAAACCTATATATATATATATATATATATATATATATATATATATATATATATATATATATATATATATATATATATATATATATATATATATATATATATATATGTATATTTACATATATATACACATATATACACACAGCACCTGTTACAAAAACCTCATCTCAATTTGCATCAATAATGAGTTTAGCTATGGTTTCTGAAAAAACTATATCACTGAAAATATCTTCCAGTTCATTATATTCAGAACTGGCTTCTGAGGCTTTAACCTTTTCAACCAATGGAGTATACAGTGTTGGAATTGAAGGTAAATGTATAAATTTATTTTTTTATAAAGTTAGATCCAGATAAAAAACAAATTGTAAAAGTAGTTAATTTTTAGATTTGAAATATACATCTATACATTCAAATATATGTATGAATGTATATATATATATATATATATATATATATATATATATATATATATATATATATATATATATATATATATATATATATATATATATATATATATGTATATATATATATATATATATATATATATATACATATATATATATATATATATATATATATATATATATATATATATATACATATATATATATATATATATATATATATATATATATATATATATATATATATATATATATATATATACATGTATATATATATATATATATATATATATATATTATATATATATATATATATATATATATATATATATATATATATATATATATATATATATATATATATATATTGACAGTTGCAAATCCTGCTACTATAGCATTATCTTATATGGCATCAATAACATCTTTAAGCACGTTAACTGATTCACTGAAACCAACTCCAAGTTTACCAAATTCAGATCTTGCTTCTACAACGCAAGCTTTATTGGCGATTACATCAAACAACTTATCATTAAAAAGTATGTATTTGAAAACATTTATAAAAATTGTTATAGTTATTAGTTAACAAGGCTGTGCTCAGTTGTACAATAGGTTTACAAAAGATAACTTAACATATCTTAACATAACTTAACATAACCTAATTTTTTTAATTTTTTTCCTTTAAACATACATTTGACGGTTTTTTAATTTTTTATTGGCAATTTTATGATTTGTTTAATTATACAATTAACAATCGAAAATTAAAAAGAAACGTCTTCAAATAGAAAGAAACGAATTTCATGAAATAAAATAAAAAAATGATTTATATAAACAAACAGGGACTCAAAGAAGATATGGATGACCAAAGTCATCAAAATCATTCCATACAACCTTTATTTGGGCTTGTAACAAGTTTAAAGTAAACAAAAATTCTTTAAAAAATTTATCGAAATCTCCGTTAAAACATGAAAAAATAAGCATCTTCTTTATATACTTAGAGTAAAAGACAATAAATAGAATAAACTCCGACAAATATAAACTAAGTTAAACATAATATAATACATAGTATAAGAAATTAAGTTTAACAAAAAGGTTTATCAAAAAGATTTTTATATAAAATTTTAAAGCTTTCATTTGATTTCAAAATTTATCTTTTTTTATGAAGCTTAAATGAATTTACTGGTTTAACCATATTTATATGGCTATTTTGAAAGATGCTCCATAGCTCAACCATATGCTACGCTATACTCTTTATATTTAGATAATATACAAGGCAGTGTATATGTGAACCTCTCCTTAGATCTTAGAGAATATATATTGTTTCGATTTATTTTAAGTTTTATTAAAATTGTTTGGTGTAAGATTTTCAAAATGTTTGTACATAAAGGTTATGTGTTGAAATCTATTTATCTCATACATTCAACATTATTATTTCCATCATTAATGGCTTGCATGCTTACGTTTAGTTTTTTGGTATATAATTCTGCTGGTATGTTTTTGCGCACTAAATATCTTTTAAAGTTTAGCATGTTGTGTGCAAGTCTACACAATGTTATCATAATTAATAATTTAGGCTAAAGTATATTCATTTAAACGTTTGAGTATTTATGAGTAGATAAGTTCTGTACATTATGCCAATTGTTTTGCTTATTTTTAATTTGATATATTTTATGTTAGGAAGCCAAGATTAGTTTTTATCTACAAAAAATTCAAAATTTATTAAAATTCCTGCTTTTTAATTTGTTAATCAATTATAAAGAGAAATGGGAATTTAAAAGGCAGATTTTTCTCTTGTGTTTTTTTATAAAATAATGAATATTGAGTTTTATCTGTGTTTATTGAGAGCTTCTTAGTTTTAAACCATTTATATACTTTCATCAAATCAATATTCATTTATTTCCATATAGCTGAATAATATCGTTATTGGACATAGACAAATTATTATCAGCAGCATACATAATTAAACTTGATTTTGCAGATACATTATAAAAGTTGTTTATATAAATTATATATAATAATAAATAAAATATAAATAGGAGAAGGTCTGGTATTGAAATTTGTAGAACTCCAAAAAAAATGTTTAATGTACAAGAATCCGGATTGACTACATAGTGTTTTTGAGTAAGGTTACTTTTAACGCAGTCAAATGTTTTGTTTATTAAACCATTGTAATTTAAGTTTTCTAAAAGTATGAAGTAATCTACTGTATCAAATGCTTTTGGCAGTTCTATAATTAACCCCAGTGTGAACTAATTTTTTTCAAACCCGTTGCTTATTGTCAACTACCTCAATAATTGCATGCTCAGTTAAAGTATTTCACTGGAAACCAAACTCTTTGGGATAAAAGAGTGTGTTTTTTGAAAAACGGCCATAACTTCTATTATATATAACGCGTTCAAATATTTTTGAGAAAATGGATAATACTGATATAGGTCTATAATTTGAGATTATAGACCTATATCAGTATTAGTGCATTGCCTTTAAAAGCCTTGCTTTTATAAATTGGGTAAATTTAAGCTACTTTTAATATATCAGGAAATGTGCCTTTTTTTTACTGAAAGTTTAAAAATTTAAAAGAAAGGATTGGTGGTGTTTTTCTTTGCTTCAAACTAATATATATAACCTGATATTCCATCAAAACCAGGAGATATATTTATATTTAATAATGAGAAAGTATCCTCAATTTCTTTTATTCCATTAATCCGCTGTCATATAATAAATTATTATTAGATGAACTAATATATATTTTAAATGAATCAATTTAAGGTACAATTTTAGTGGCTATATTTAGACCAACGTTAGTAACAACAACAACAACAACAACAACAACAACAACAACAACAACAACAACAACAACAACAACAACAACAACAACAACAACAACAAGCTATTTATTTTCCGTAAATTATTTGTACAATAGTTTTGATAATAATAATAATTACAATAATAACAATAGCAATAATAACAATAATGATAATAATATATTATTATAACTTAAGATAATTAAAAAATATATACAAGCTATAGTAATAGTAACAATAAGTATGTTTTTAATAATTACAATAAAAAAAAAAAAAAAAAAAAAAAAAACTAATAATACTATAATAATAAGTTAATGATTTATTAGGATGGTGTCACTCATAAGGAAATCTGATCATAGGAGTTAAACCAATTTTTAATAAAATATAAGTAATAATAAGGAAAGAGACACACTGAAACGCAAGGACCGTGAACACACAGACCAAAGCACGAAAAATATACATCAAAAGAAACATGTAGAAATGAATTTGCAGGTTTTAAAAAGAAAAAAAAGAAAATAAGTAAACAAAAAGTGCTGATGATAATTGTAACTGATATTACGACAAGAAAATTAAAATAATATTTTAATCGTAAGGATAATAATGCCTTAAAGTTAGATAAAAAAAAATTTTAGAATTTTTTAAAACTGATATTGTTTAAGATGAGGTAAGGAAATTTTAGGATATATTTGTTTGGATTCATTCAAAAAGCATGCAAGGCTCCTGTTCTATCCACAGACGCACTGATAAACAATAGAATGTTTACCATACTTCTGGGTTTTAAAAGATATTACATTTAGTTTTCCATTGTGTATATTTCGATGTATCTGATTTAATTGGTTGGAAGTTTATTAATTTGATGGATTGACGCTGAGACGATAGCAACTTGTTAAAGCAATAGTTTCCAACTTGACCCCAAACTTGACAACAATAGCTAAGATCTGATGAGAATAATTCATACTAAATATTCTTAAGTGTAATTTAATCAACATAATGACGAATTATTGAAAGCATACCGTTAGCTCGAGAAAGTTCCGTGAAAGATTGTAATCAATTAAAACACCAAGATGTTTCCTAACTCTTGAAGGGTATAGTCCTTAATTATTAATTTTGATTTTGATTTCAACATTTTTAAAAAATTGTTTTTTCTTCGATAAGAAAAAAAAAAAATTCAATTTTTTCGATGTTGAGACATATTAGGTTAGCATTTAACCAGTGAACTTTACCTTTTAGATCCGAATTAACATTTTTATATAAAGAATGATACGATTTTTTGATGTGCAAGATATTTGTATGTTCAGCAAACAGATGAACAGAAGAGAAGTGAATAGAACTGATTAGGTTGTTATCGTAGATTAAAAACAAAAGAGGACCTAGAACAGAACCTTGAGGAACACCACACAAAACTGATTTATTACTAGAATTGAAACCATTAATACTTACAAATTGTTTTTTATCTGAAAGATAAGATCAAAACCAGTCATTAAAAATACAGCGAATTCCATAATGTTTTAATTTAGAATTCAAAATATTATTAGACAGCGGGTTTCAAAAGCTTTTTGTAAATCGATAAAAACGAAATGACCAGTACCAAGAGCCTTCCTGATTTTTTCCGTTTCCGTTATACTTATTAATTAAGTAGAATATTTTGAGTAGCAAAACATTCTACTTAATTAGCAAAAGTAAAATAAAATAGCAAGTAGAATGTTTTGATCAAAAACCAAATTAAAAATCATTCAAATAATTGAATAAGTTTAGAAAAGAGTACACTCTAGAACACATAATTTTCTCAAGAAGCTTACTAATGTTAGATAAAAGAGGAATAGGCCTGTAGTTTGTGCATGAAAGTTTAGAGCCATTTTTAAATATTGGAATAACGCAAGGTAATTTCAAAATATCAGGAAATGTTCCATATATGAATGAGATATTAAATAGTTTAGAAAGAATATATGAAAAATTCGTAGTTAAAATCTATAAGAATATTTGTGGGAATGCTGTTTGGACCTAATGATGTTTTTGAATTCAATTTAGATATAAAAGATCAAATTTCAGCAATATTTGTTGGAGATAATAATAAACTATGTAAATTTGGATGATTAAGGTATTTTTGATAGTTGTGTAAGATGAATGAATTATGGATTTGAGTTTATTAGCAACACTTGTAAAAAAAAGTGTTAAATGGTTCAGAGGTTAGAGTCGGGTCAGTTATTTATGTATCATATTCTTGTAAACAGTTGTGAGATGATTTATCCAAATTTTTTACATTAATTAGAGTATTAATACCTTTCCAAAGTTTGCGAAGATATTTCACATTTTGTGAGAAAAATTTTCAAAAATATTTTTTTTACTAAGTTTAAATAATGTAACTATTATATATTTATATTTTTTTTAAATACTTTCAAATTTTTTTTTATTAATAAAGTCTTTAGATTTAAACGTTTTTTGTTGGAAAAGATTGCGCACTTGAACAGATTTTATAATTCCTTTTGTAACCCATGGTTTGAATCGACGTCTGACGTTTTTGATACTTATTTTTTTAATCTTAAATCAATGTTGTTCCAGTAATAAATGTTTAGAAACATGTGTTAGTATCATTGGACTTAGTAATATTGTCCCAGTCAGTTTTTGATAAATCAGATTTGAAGTTTTCTTTATTAAAGTTTTTAAAACTCCTGCTACATAAGTTGTGTCTGCGTGGCATAAATAATTTTTCGAAATTGGGACAAATACAAAATTGAGGT